CTGGCGTATATTAAGTACTCAGTAAAACCTTGTTGAATGAGTGAAAGAATTACCAAAAGATTCCTCTTGCCAGGACAGTACCAAGGCATGTGGGCACTCCAGGAAGGCCAGTTAATTTAGTGGAGAACAAAGAAAATCAGTTTCCTTATTCATTAAAAAAAAGTGCTAAAATGATTAACTTACTAATCCACTTTCATTAACTAAAGCAGAATGCGTGTAAAGAAAATTCAGAAGAACATTTTCCATTCCTTTGAACTTCTTATATTCTCTCTGAATTTTGTCAGGTGGTTTTCCAGACCAGACAAAATCTTGAGTGACATACCGAGGTGTTTTAAAATTAGGGGCATACGTTGCATCATTGTGTGCATTATTTATTGTCAGAATTTTGACTACAGCTCTGTGAGTTTGTTGCAAAAATGACGGCAGACAATGCTAAGATTGTTTTTCCTTTTCTTTATTCATTGTGATTAAAAAGTGCATAACAAAATTTGCCATCTTAGTCATTTTTAAGGGTATAGTTTAGGAGTGTTAAGTATATTGACATTGTTGTACTCTAGATCTCTGGAACTCTTCATCTCTAGAACTGAAACTCTGTACCCATTAAACACCTCTCCATTCCCACCTACCACAGCCCCTGGAAACCATCATTCTACTTCTTGTTTCTATGAATTTGACTACTTTACCTACCTCATGTAAGTGGAATCATACAGCATTTTCTTTTTGTGACAGGCTTATATCACTTAATGTTCTCAAGGTTAATCTGTGATTATAGCATGTAATGGGATTTCCTTCCTTTTTAGGACTGAGTACTATTTCATTGTATTGATATACCACATTTTGCTTATCCATTCATCACTTGATGGACATTTGGGTTGCTTCCACCTCTTGACTGTTGTGAATAATGCTCTGTGAACATGTGTGCAAATATCTCTTTGAGATTCTGCTTTCAAGTCTTTTGGGCATATATCCAGACGTGGGATTGCTGGATTGTATAGGAATTCTATTTTTAAATTTCTGAGGAGGCTCCATGCTTTTTTCCATAGTGGTTGCATAAGTTTACATCCCTATTCACAGTGCACTAGGGTTTTATTTTCTCTGCATGCTCACCAATACTTGTTTTATTATGTTTTCTTTCTTTTATTTTCTAATAGTGGCCATCCTAACAATTGTGAAACAGTATCTCATTGTGGTTTTGATTTTCATTTCCCTAAGATATGCAGTTTACTAATATATTGTTTCTCCCATTCTGTAGGTTGCCGTTTCACTCTTTTGATTGTGTCCTTTGATGCATAAAAGTTTTTAAGTTTGATATAGTTCCATTTGTCTAATACTTGCTTTTGTTACCTTTGCTTTTGCTGTCATGCATAAGAAGTCACTGCCAACTCCAACATCGTAAAGCTTGTCCCTTATGTTCTTTGCTAGGATTTTAATACTTTTGGGTCTTGCGTTTAGGTTTTAGTCCATTTTGAGTTATTTTTTCTATATAGTACAAGATAAGGGCCCGTCTTTATTTTATTTTTGCATATGGATATCCAGTTTTCCCAGTACCATTTGTTGAAGAGACATTGAGTGGTCTTGGCACCCGTGTTGAGGATCATTTGACCACATACGTGAGGGTGTACTTCTGGGTTCTATCTTTTTTTTTTTTTTTTTTTAAGATGGGGTTTCACCATATTGGTCAGGCTGGTCTTGAACTCCCAACCTCAGGTGATCCACCCACCTTGGCCTCCAACTTCTGGGTTCTCTATTCCATTGGTCTATTTGTCTGTCTTTATTCCAGTACCACACTGTTTGATGGCTGGAAAATAGATATGGCTTTGTACTATATTTTGAAATTATGAAGTGAAAGTCCTCTAACTTTGTTCTTTTTCAAAGTTGTTTTTTGCTCTTTGGAGTCCCTGGAGAATCCATGTCAATTTTAGGATGAATTTTTCTACTTCTGCAAAAAAATCCCCTTGAGATTTTGATAGGGATTGCCTTGTTTCCATAGGTTGCTTTGGGTAGCATGGACATCTTCACAATATTAAGTCTTCCAATCCGTGAACACAGGATATCTTACCATTTATTTGTATCTTTAATTCCTTTCAGTGGTGCTTTATATTTTCAAGGTAGGATTGTTATTTTACTTTCCATTTGAGAGTGCTGTCTACTTTAATGAAAGCAGGACAAATATCTATGCTTCCAGCTTGGTAAGAGGTTGCATCTTCCCATGTTAACTGACACCCTGAATCTGATTTTCCCAAAGTCATTTTATCTTCTTAGAGTTCCTCAAGCAAATATGCATTAGAATGCTTTGTAACTTAAGCTCTGACCCATGGAACTTTTTCCCCTAGACCCAGGGCCCTGGAGAATGTAGAAATCCTCATACCTGGTATTGTGTTCCTGGAGGAGAGGCCTCCACATCTGATAAGCCTGGCCACTGGTGACTAGGCACAGGTTGTTGAGCTCTTAGTCCTGGCACATGCCAAGCCATGAAAGTCTACATGTCTCTATTTTGTAGAGTGAGAGCTCTGGTACTCTTAGAGGGCAGGAGGTAGTCTTCCTTTCCTCCCTGTGTGAATAAAGAGGGCCATGAGTTGGGGCCAAGGAGAGTGGGCTCTAGGTGTTGATTTTCTCTCTTTGGTCTCATTCCAGCTATGGTGCACACAGGGCCATGATGCTGGCAAATCTGGATGTTTATTTATTTATTTATTTTGCCCTAGAAGATCATAAAAAGGCCTGGCAGGAGTTCCTAAGTTCACAAGTTACCTCCTGCTCTTCAGAGGGGCTGTGCAAAATAAGCTTGTTGACAAATCTTGCATGTTACTTACTCTTATTTAATCATGAAACTTTGCAATTCCTTAGTGTTGTTACAAGGAGGAATGTAGGTAATTCCCAACTTACTGAAAATCTACTTATTTCCTTTTAAAAACTGTTATTTTAGGAAACTGTTGTTGGTCTGATGCAATGATTACATGTCTCTTGAACCTCAGACAAACAGGTGTGGTCCATGTTGTAGTATTCTAGCTGGCTGACTTCATGGAGGTTCAGACAGCAGATTGGCATGGGGAAGGGAGTGTAGTGGTTTATGGCAGTCCTCCCAGCTAAAGCTCTCTGAGTTCAAGTTAGTTGAGCCTTCTGTTCTTGGCAGATTTTCCTTCAGAGTGTCAGTGCCAGAGCTCATGTTAAACTCGTTGGTGGTGTTCACAGGCCCAAAGTGTAATTTGACCTAAAATGTCTGGCAGAATCCTGAAATTAGACTTTGGGCCTGTGAAAATCTCTTCCGTGGCCCTTTTATTCCCTGCTCTATGTTCCTCATTCTGGTAACAAAGACAATGTAGGCCAGCAAGGGAAGCATCATCACAGAATACTTTGTAAGAGGCTTAGACTTCAGTTGTGGGTTTTCAGTCCCTTCAACCCCATCTTCCAGAGTGATAAGGGTGGTTGGAGATGGACACAGGACCTGCACATAAAGTATTTCCCCTTGATATGGGTGGCTGTGTCCTCACCCAAATCTCATCTTGAATCATAGCTCCCATAATCCCCACATGTCATGGGAGGGACCCAGTGGGAGGTAATTGGATCATGGGGGTGGGGTTTTCCCATGCTGTTCTTACAAAAGTGAATATGTCTTACAAGATATGATGGCTTTACAAAGGGCAGTTCCCCTGCACATGCTCTCTTGCCTGCTGCTGTGTAAGACGTGCCTCTGCTCCTCCTTTGCCTTCTGCCATGCTTGTGAGGTCTCCCAGCCATGTGGAACTGTGAGCCCATTCAACCTTTTTCTTTATGAATTACCCAGTCTCAGGTATTTCTTCATAACAATATGAAAATGGACTAATCCATTCATATTGTTGCACCTACTTGAGGACTCCCTTGATATGCCTAGGAAGATGTTTGACATCCAGGAGGTAAACAGGTGCTTGACAAATCTCAGGAAACTGCCATGTGGGCGATCTTCACATTGCGAAAAGATTGATGGGCTGATGTGAAAGCAAAATGTGTTGAGCAACAGCAATCATCACTGTTGCTACCACTAACATTTGTTTTGGATTTAGTGGTTTATGCAGTGCTTTGCCGTGGCTGTTACCAGATTTGATCCATCTGTCAACCCCATGAGATATTGTTGCTGCAGTATCACTTCTAGAGATTAGCAAACCACTGTGCACAATGTAGTCTGACTTCCCCAGGGTCATGAAGTTGCTCAGTTAGAGCCAGGTTCTAAACTGCTGATTTCTGTTTCTGAATTGCAAGATCCTTCCAAGGCACCATTCCACTGTGGTAATCACTGTGAGGGATGCATATGAAGAGTACATAGATTCTTACCAGTTACAAAATCAACACATAAGAAACAAAAATCAAGCTGCTATATTGTGCGGTAACGTGTGGCACATTAGGAAATCAGATATGGAAATATGCATGGGCTGGAAGGTCAAGGAAGAGGCTTACAGAAGGAGGTGGAACTTGGATTGGCCCTTGAAGAATAGATGGGATTTGGAAGGTGGAGGGCAGGAGTGTCTGGGGAGGCATCAGCTTGTGCAGTGGCTCGGGATAAGGAATGCACACAGGGCATGTTGGAGCCACAGAGGTAACCTGCTGGCTTAACCAGCCTGCATATGTTTTAGGAAAACTGTCTCTCAGGGTCATTCTGTCTTTCCACCAAACCCTGGCAGCTCAAGTTTTCTCAGCCAGGATGCAAAACTGCAGTGTGTTTCTGTTTGATGAAGGAAGGCTTCATTGTTACTGGCCTGGCACAAAGAGCCCTTGGAGAGAGGGGACAGTGCACAAGGACAGGACACTAAGGGTATCTTGTGTTCCTTCAGAATGATTACATAGAATCAGCGGCACTTTGTTCCTCTGAAGTGGCTTATGATTTCCTTGAAATAACCTCCTTTGTAACATGGTTAAGGGAACTTAAGGATACAGCCTATAAGTGTGGTCAAGTGGAATTTCTGGCAGCAGTTTGCAGGGCATTACTAGGTTGCCTAAAAAAAAAATCCCTTTGTATTTTCTGGTGACAGGTTTGTGACTCTTATCCTACTGAACTGTACGTTCCCAAGTCGGCCACGGCACACATCATAGTGGGGAGTTCCAAATTCCGGAGTAGACGGCGATTTCCTGTCCTTTCTTACTACTATAAAGATAACCACGTAAGTCTCAAGGCATGCTTTTGTTTGACACTTTGCTTTTCTTGTTTTATCGTAACCAGGCATTTTCTAGCTGCCTTCTACTCTGTGTTTGTGTGTGTTTGAATTCTTCAGAAGGTATGTGGATATTCCTGTGCATGGTATGCACGATATAACTATGCGAAGTCCTTATCTCATTAGACCTCCCGTGTTTATTTGACAGTAAAGTAATGATTCAGAAAATGACTCAATAAATTCAGAAAATTCCTAAGCTTAATCATCCAAGTGAATACTGTTAGTGTCCTCTTCTAAGTGGGCACCTTGGGAGGCTCAGCGCTTATACAGTGCTGGAGATCTGTGGCATGCCTATTTTAGAAAAGTTGCCGAGGTCCATGGCCCATTCTTTATATTTTCTGGTTTTTTTTTTTTTTTTTTTTTCTTCTTTTTGATACAGAGTCTCACTCTGTAACCCAGGCTGGAGTACAGTGGTACAATCTGGGCTCACTGCAACCTCTGCCTCCCAGGTTCAAGCAATTCTCCTGCCTCAGCCTCCCCAGTAGCTGGGATTACAGGCACCTGCCACCACACCCAGCTATTTTTTTTTTTTTTTTGTATTTTTAGTAGAGACGAGGTTTCACCGTATTGACCAGGCTGGTCTGGAACTCCTGACCTCAGGTGATCCACCTGTCTTGGCCTCCCAAAGTGCTGGGATTATAGGCGTGAGCGACCTGACCTTATTATCTGTTTTTAAATGACATGTTCTTTTGAGTGACCTCAGTATAAGAAATCTTTGATTATAGAGAGCATGGGTTTTATTTTTTAAATATTACTTATAAAAGTCATAATTGGCTTTGTCTATAATAAGGACTCTAAGTAATAATGGCTCTAATAGGATGTGATTTTTTTTCTCTTGCATAAAATTCCCAGGGTGGGCAGTCCTGGCCTAGTAGCCTGGCTTCATCCCACTTAGCCCTCAGGTACTGAAGTTCCTTCCACCTTTCTGCTCTGCCACCACCTGGGTTTAGCTGTCACCTGCCTGGGGCAAGAGATCGATTCAGTACAGTCACCACCCACACACTCCAGGTGGCAGGTGACTGAGGGCTAATAGTGTGTGCCCAGCCTTTTGAGAAAGGCTTCCAGAAACTGCCGCATGACACCTCCCATTCATCAGAACCTCGCAGGGCAGATATGAAAACAGTCTCATGAGTGGCCATTAAAACAGCTAAAACTTGAGTTTCATTTCTGTGGAGTATAGGAACACAAAGTTGGATGAGCAAGAATGGTCTTTGCCACTCACTTTTAAAAGATAGCAAAAAAAAAAAAAAAAAAAAAACACGCATTTTTTTTCTTTCTTGAGTCAGAGTCTTGCTCTATCACCCAGGCTGGAGTGCAGTGGTGCGATCTCAGCTCACTGCAGTCTCTGCCTCCTAGGTTCAAGCAATTTTCCTGCCTCAGCCTCCCAAGTAGCTGGGACTACAGGTGTGCGCCACCATGCCCAGCTAATTTTTTGTATTTTTAGTAGAGACAGGTTTCATCATGTTGGCCAGGATGGTCTCGATCTCCTGACCTTGTGATCTGCCCGCCTCAGCCTCCCAAAGTGCTAGATTACAGGTGTGAGCCACTGCCCCTGGCCAAAAACCATCTTTAAAAAAAACAAAAGGTTATTTGGCTTTATCCAGGTGAGAAAGACACTTTAGTTTTTAAGCTAGATAATATAGTTTTGGATTCAAAGCTGAGTGGGGCTATAAACGGGAGTGTATGAGTGTAAGTGTATGCACATGCCTGCACCTATTAGCAGGGGGGTAGAGCAGGGTCTGAGTCCGATTCTGTAGGCTTCCAAAAATACCTTGAGCAATGCCAGCTTCATCAGAATGAGCACGTAGCCTTCCTTGTTGCTACTTTGAAGGAAAATATTCATTTAGTGGTGAAAGTTCTGTAAATTGGAAGGATATAAATTATTTTATTTTTAGTTACATTTATTTATCTTCTTCTTTCCCTAGTCCTGAATTAGGGTCTAAAGTATTTTATTAACGCCAAATATATTTCAGCCTACACACAGAACTGGAGCACTGGTTAGAGGCAAAAGCAGATGTGTGTGGGGGTGTGTGTGTGTGTGTGTGTGTGTGTGTGTGTGTTTGTTTTGAGACAAGGTCTCGCTTTGTCACCCAGGCTGGAGTGCAGCATCATAATCATAGCTTCATAGCTCATTGTAACTTCAAACTCTTGAGCTCAATGGATCCTCGTGTCTTAGCTGCCCAAGGAGTTAGTACTATAGGTACACACTACCACATCTGCTAAGTCTAAAAACATTTTTTGTAGAGAAGATAATTTTTTTGTAGAGACATGGTCTTGATAAGTTGCCTGGGCTGGCTTTTTTATATTTTATTTTGTTTCATTATTTTATTTTATTATTATTAAGGTCTCACTCTGTCCCCCAGGCTGGAGTGCAGTGGCACAGTGTTGGCTTACTGCAGCCTTGACCTCCCAGGTTCAAGTGATCGTCCCACCTTAGCCTCCTGAGTCACTGGGACCACGTGAGTGCCGCCCCGCCCAGCTAAATGTTTTGCATTTTTTGTAGAGATGAGGAAAGCCATGTTTCCCAGGCTGGTCTCGAGCTCCTGTGCTCAAGTGATCCACCTTCCTCGTCCTCCCAAAGTGCTGGGATTACAAACATGAGCCACCATGTCTGGCCTCTTTGTTGTTGCTGTTAAAGATAGAATAAATAGGGATATGAAATTTTATGGTGTTGTATTTGAATTTAGGGTGCTGGTAACATGCACATTATTGTAGCATCCATTGATTAAAGAGGTAAGAGAGAAGACGAATCCAGGAGAGGGAGAAAGGATCTTTTATTGATGATTCAGAGGTGTTTTATTGTTGTCTGTAGCATATTTAAAAAGTATGCACAGTGTGCCTAGCAGCCCTTTTTTTATATTCTTGAGACAAAGGACCTTTTACTTTTGTCAGTGTGAGTAATATAAGGATTAAATGTGTATTGTCTCAGAAAGGAGAGAATTTTTAGCATTTACACCTCAGAGACAGCTTCTTCCCTGGCTGACCTCAGACCCACGTGGCTCCACTCCTGCTTCCCCAAGTGCCATTCTTTACTTGACTTCTAGGCCCGAAAATGGACTCACGTAGCATAGTTAGAGTTTAAGATAATTGATTTCCCATATTTAAAATTTTAAAGCAGAAATGACTTGAAGTTCTAGCTCTTCCAAGGTACAGAGCAGAGATGTGTTTCAAAGCATTGCCCTGCGATCGGGCTACCCCAGGGAAGTCCTGAAGGAACACACACTTGCCCGCCCACTCTCCCAACCTCATGAACTAAAATCTATTTTACAGGAAGAATAATGATCAAATTTTTGTTTTATTACAATGTTTACATTTTAATATCAAGGTTAATTATAGAAATGCTTCTGATTTGACTAGGGCTTTTCCTAAAGGAAAGTATTATTACCAAAGGTGGATTTCTGTGGTTAAATGGAAGACACTGAAATAGAGAGTAGTTATCTGTGCTGTCATTGCTCATCAATGGCTGCATAGAAAACAGGCAGTCTTCCAGAAAAAGTAAACAGGTATACATTCCATCCATTTGCTGATCTTTCTTTCTTCTCTTTGGTTATTTGAGACATTTTAGGCTTAAGAGTATGTATTCCTACCCAAAAATAACATGCTTATGAGTAAGGATATTGCATTTTATAGTTAAAATATTTGTTTCCCACTTATGTTACCACAGAAACACTTCTGATTTTTGTGGTGACATGACTTGGCTAATGTTGGGTGCTGGGAATTGGTGATTAGATTAGGAGAAGCTTGAAATGCGTCTGATTTTTATGAATCTGAAGTTCTGTTTGATATAAAGGCCCCTGCTGAGAGTACATCTTTCCCTTTGGATCAGCTGTTACCACGCATGTGTTATGTTGGTGCAAAAGTCATTGCGGTTTTTGCCGTTACTTTTAATGGATATAATCACATCCTTTCACCCCTGTGGCGAAGGAAGGATTCCTGCTGTAGGTTACAGGGACAGCCAGGCACACAACACTTGACGCTGGACATGTGAGATCAACAGCCATTTTACTGGTCACATACACTCACTGCTAGGGGGAGGAGGATACCACAGCCCACGAAGGTCAACCTGAGGTTGCCCTGAGGAGCAGAGTGCCAGCCAGGGGATGCGGAAGGCAGGCTGTTTAGTATCAGGAGCATGGGGTCAGCCTTGGCTCCTGCAGGAGGATGTGATTAGCTTGCTAGCATCATTCCATGGGCTTGCAGGGAACTGAAACCTGCTACCGAGGAATGGTCAGGAGCTGCACCTGCTCTGCTGGATAAGGAGAATTGTTTCACTCGGGAACCTCATCCATAGGAGCAGAGTGTGGCAGGGAACTTGAGGCCATTTGAGGCCCTCTCAGTTTTACCAGATGTCGAGGCAACACATAATATTAACTTTACGCCTTATGCACACGGGATATGTAGAGCCACGTGGGCTCCCTTTGAATATCCAGCGATTAACAGCTTTACAGATCATGGTCGGAGAGGCTGAGTGTCATGTATGTTCAGAATTCTGTGTATCTTTCTATGAGAGGTCTTAGAATTGCTACACCCTTTATTATTTATTATGTTAGGATCTTTTTTTTTTTTAGTTTTGCTTTACATGGTGCACAGCATGGTCTCCGAAATTAACAGTACACATCTCTAGAAAACAAAACTCTGGAAGATTTCCAGTGAGGCAAATTTCCTTAAAAAATACCTTCAAGCTCTGTTTTTATAATTTAATACTTGTTATATTAATTCCTGTGTGTTAGACACAGTGCCAGAAGTGTTACAGTGTTATGCCCCTTATTACACCCTGTAGTTTTAATATTTTACCCATTTTATACATGAAAAAACTGGGGATCAGAGAAGATACATAAAGTACCCAAGATCATACACTGACCGAGAGCACAGCTGGAACTGACAGCCAGGTCTTTTATTATGCTGCATCTCTTTTTTTTTTTTGTTTTTGAGATGGAGTCTTGCTCTGTCACCCAGGCTGTAGTGAAGTGGCATGATCGCAGCTCACTGCAGCCTCAACCTCCCAGGTTCAAGGGATTCTCCTGCCTCAGCCTGCCAAGAAGCTGGGATTACAGGTGTACATCACCATGCTGGCTAATTTTTGTATTTTTAGTAGAGACAAGTTTCACCATGTTGGCCAGGCTGGTCTCGAACTGCGACTGCTGACCGCAGGTGATTCACCTGCCTCGGCCTCCCAAAGTGCTGGAAGTATAGGCGTGAGCCGCCGCACCCGGCCTTATGCTGCATCTTAATGCTGTTTTGTGTTGCCTGACCTATTTCCTCCCATCAGGGCTTACATCACTTTGTAAGATTTCAGGATCAGGAAATACTCTGTCTGAATTCAAATCTAGGCCTCCCCATTTACTGTGTGATCTTGAGTATGTTCCTTAACCTCTCTGTGCCTTGGTCATTTCATGTATAAAGTGGAGCAAAGAATACATCTATTGTATATGAAAATTAGGCTAATTAAATAAAAATATGCAAAGTTCTTATAATAGTGTCTGTCATATAAACACTCAAAAACATGGTAGTAAGATGACAGTAGTAAGCTATCAAAAATGTTGAATTTTTAATCATTAGTAGCATTGTAAATGAGCGCTATCCTTTACTGTTTACAACTGAAGAGCTTTTAATCTATGCTCTGACATCAGTAAGAAATGCTGCCAAGTAATAGTAATACTCTTTGGATAATCTACCTAGGGTGTGCATAAGGTACACAAAAGCACTGAGACAACTTACCCTTCTGCACAAAATTGAAAGCCATGTTAGCAATTGCTGAGTCCATGATAAATTCCATTTAGAGCACATCTTTAGATTATTAAGAAAATCTAACTACAGAATACCAAAAATGTAGTCTGTTTAATATGTGTGTTTTATCGACCACATTCCATAGTATAACAGTTCTGACTAGCTGTCCTAAACCAGAAGGTAATTTGAAATAGTTGTTGTCCCTAAATTGCTTCATTTTGTAATTGGTTTCTCACTACTTTAGTGAATTTTGATGTGTATATTCTCAAATTCTCACCATTTAAATACATTCCCATCCCCATCTAACCCTTATGATGGAATCTAAGATTGCCTGGTGGCAGCTGTTCTTAACTAATGTTTCTTTTTCTTTTTTTTTTTTGAGACAGAGTTTTATTGTTACCCAGGCTGGAGCGCAGAGGTGCCATCTTGGCTCACTGCAAACTCTGCCTCTCAGGTTTAAGCAATTCTTCTGCCTCAGCTTCCCAAGTAGCTGGGATTACAGGTATGCACCACCATGCCTGACTAATTTTAGTATTTTTAGTAGAGACGGGTTTCACCATGTTGGCCAGACTGGTCTCAAATTGCTGACCTCAGGTGATCTACCTGCCCCGGCTTCTCAAAGTGCTAGGATTACAGGCATGAGCCACTACACCCGGCCAACTAATATTTCTTTATCGCAGATAAAGTATCATCTAAAGCCAGCTCAGAGTTATTCTCTCTCCAGGCAGAATTCCCTCTCCGCAGGTGGCAGGCCCTTACCCCTTAAAGATCAAAGGAAACAGGACCGCTGCAAAATCCATCTGTGTCATTTGCTTTCTGGGCGCTGGATGTGGCTTGCCTTTGCTCTCCTCTGGATCTCGGCCATCACTTCCTCTTGCTGGTGGCCTTGCCATTGCTTGCCATCCTCTCTTCCATATTTATACCCTTGTGATCTTTTTCTCCTCCCCATCAGTGAGGAAGGAGCCACCCTGGAGTGACTCTGCTGCCCCTTTGCTTCCCACTCCCACACCTTGCCCCCCCTGAATTCTGAGCCTGGCTGTTGGTCTCAGGCTTCCTTTAACCCCCTCAGTGATTGTCTCTCTGCAGAATGGTACGGGTGCCCTCAGACAATGGCCCTATCATATGTCCAGCCATTCTCTGGTTCTCCAGCTTCAGCGCTAGTGAGAAGTGTCCCCAACTTCTTCAACAAAGAGCACCCAAGCCCTTTTGAGTAATCCAAACCCATGTTAAGTTTTCCTGGGTTGGGCTTTAAAGACAATTAAGCTGTGATTGGACTAAGATTTGGGGTGTCCCTTAATGGATAGAACCCTGCAATGCCAGCATCCTGAACAGGCTGTGGTATGACAGGACTATTTTCAGTGAAAGTTTCCCCTCCATATTATCCTGCATGGAGGGTTTCTATCCCTGCCTTCATTCTTTCACACTGTGGACTTACAGTCTCAGTGTAGATGCTTTGAGTCATTCATGCATTTTAGTGGGTGTTTTATGTTTAATTTAAATGTTAAAACCTAAATCCATAAAAGTACTTTGCCACAAAAGCCTAAGTTTATAGCTGCAAGGTTAGGTCTGTAACTCGTATTCATAACTCAGGGAAATGTTTATGTTCTTCTAGATGGTAACTTGATAGTGCAGTATACTCCGCCAGAGTTGCAGGGTAGGGGGTTTGCAGCAGAGAATGCAGATTGATTCCAAAAAAATCCTCCTCATTCTAAACAGACTTAAGTCAGCATGGGTACGTGCCTGCTGTCCTTAGGTATCAAACCTAGCAGCAGCCTGGCCTTTTGTCACCATGGAAGTTTCCCATTTAGAATCAGAATGGGATTTTGGTATTTGTGAAGTTTCTAGATAGGCTAGTAAAGGAAAAAAAGGTTGGAAAGTATTTAAAAAAATAATTTTTATTTCACTAATCTTGCCATTAATAGTATCCTGTACATTTGAGGAGAACAGTTAATTATTTTGTATTTCTTCTTTCAGCAGGAAAATGAAACAATACCAGTGAAAAGGAAAGTAGGTTATTTAAATGGTTTTAAATTTCATAACTTAGATCCTATATATACATCTCTATACATTCCTAATATTTTGCACTGAGAGACTTTTTGTGTCATTTGCCCATTAGTGGTTTCTTTGACTTGAATTAAAAATAAACAAGTCTTGATTTCCAGAAAGCTGTATCATGTTTTCGTAAGCGGAGGTGGACTATCAATGAGCCAAGGGCTCTTTGTTCTGGAGACACAAGGAGAGTGTCTCTCATGGGTACAGTTACCTGACAGTCCTGTGTTGCTGTGACCTCTCCCTGCAGGCCTCCATCTGCCGGAGCAGCCAGCCCCTGTCTGGCTTCAGTGCCCGGTGCCTAGAGGACGAGCAGATGCTCCAGGCCATTAGGAAAGCCAATCCAGGAAGTGACTTCGTTTATGTTGTTGACACCCGGCCTAAAGTAAGTGTCACCATTGCGATGCATGTCTTTGCACTTGAGTTGTAAAACTGAAAGCAAGGCAAAGGCTAGCCGACTATCATGTCTTGTGCAGGTTGCTTCATCTGCAAAGGGGTGGTTCCTCTTGGCATAGTCAGTATCTGGGCACCCTGCTGGCTGCTTCCTGGAGGTCCAGTGCTCCTGAAGCCTCTGACTATGCAAGTACATTTTCTATTTCCCCTGCCCCTAGCATTGTGCTGGTCACACAGGGGCACCCAAATGAATGTGGCTTCCTTTTGGAAATTGTGCTCCTAAGTATAACCAAATTAGTACTGGGTTTATTTCTAAAACAATTCTTTCTGCTCTGACAAGAAAATTAAGTCTGGAGCTCCAGCAGTTCAATTGTTGCAAGTTACCCATATTATTTTTCAAATTCAACTTGCAGTAATCTATACCTGTGACTTGGAAAGATTTATAAAATATGTAAATTTAAAAAAAACTGTATTTTTTAAAAAAGCTGTAGGTATGTAAAAATGTATAGAAAAAGATCGGAAAGGATAAACATGGAACTGTTAAAATTCCCTGGAGAAGGTAGTAAGATTTGGGGAGGTAGAGGGCTTTCTACTTGTTTATTGTTAGAAAATCCTTATTTTACAATTACATATGTATTAATGCATTAATTTTCTAATTTAAGCAAACCAATAAGACATAATAAATCTAGACCTCAAGGGATGAGTCATGTTGATCTTATACTTACCTTCTACTCAGCCTTACTTTTTTTTTTTTTTTTAAGGAGAATCATTGTTAAGTTCAATACAATTTCCAGTTTTTCTCCTTAGACCCAATTCTTTTAAAACTCATCAACAAGTGGAGTCCCCAGAGGGATGGACACAGAATCACCTACAAGTGCTTTGACTATAGTGGACAGAATAAGATGACAGAATGGAACATCCCTTAGTCAGCGTATTTGGCATCGCACTTTTCATGCCAATAATGAAAATGTGCCTGGACCTGTGACTGGGGAGAAAGATGAACATGCAGTTCTGTCTCCTTGTATGGTAAGCCAAGGAGTCCAGGATGTCCTGTTAAGCAACAAGAGTAGGATAGAGAAATTATGTTGAATGCAATCTCATTGCATTAAAAAAAAAAATTGGGGGAATGTATACCACACTGTTTACAGTGGCTTTTCCTGTGGGGCGAGAAGTTCATTTTAAGAAACTTTTCACTTCCTAAGTTAGAGTTTGAAATTTTTTTTTCAATATGGAAAAGGTATAAAACCATGAGGACCTTAAATTTAGTTAAACATCGGGTTACCATATGACTCAGCATTTCCTTCCTAGGTATGTAACCAAGAGAAATGAAAACTTATGTCCACATAAAAAGTTGTATGTGAATATTTGTTCATTATCGGTAATAGCCAAAAATATAAGTAACCAAATGGATTTATAATATATGGCAAGTCCATTCAATGGAATATTATTCAGCTATGAAAAGGAATGGACTATGGATACATACTGCAGCATGGACAAACCTTGAAAGTGTTATACTAAGAGGAAGAAGTCTGTCACAAAGGAATCAAATAGGCAAATGTTCCAAATAGGCAAATTCATAACCATTGAAAGTAGACTGATGGTTGCCTAGGGCTGGGGGAAGGGAGGGAAATGATAAGTGACTGCTAATGGGTAGCGGATTCTCCTTGGGGTGATGGAAATGTTCTAAAATAAGATCATGGTGATGGTTGCACAACTCTGTGGCCATACCAAACACCCTTGAGTCATTTGCTTTAAATGGGTAAATGGTGTCACATGTGAATTATATGTCAGTGAAGGTATTAACAAAAAGAACATAGGAAATAAACATTACAACAAAATAAAAAAAAAAAATACAAGGAAGGATAAAATAAAACCAACAGTTCAAGTCATTTAAAAGTGTACTCTGTTGGTAAGAGGTAATTATAAACACAGTCTCTACTCATTGGTAATATGAGAAATCATGAGAACTGAATCCTTTGTGTGGATACCCAGGCCTTGGTGATTTTCACAGATTCTCTGAACCTCATGTCACCAAATATTATGATTTGTGTCCAGGATAATGTAATGTGATGTTTTCCTAGAGTAAGATCAGTGCCCTACTCCTACCCTCACCTCAGAACCATCCTGTCCTCTTTGGAGCAAAGCACACAGTGGGAGAGGTATGTGTGGAGTAGTGAGGGTGGAGTCAGTACCCACAGATGCCAGATGAGCAAAGCAGTCATGGAGATCGGTGACGAAACCGATATTACAGCTAGATCACATTCGCATCCTACTAGATTATAGGTCAAGGGTCCCTTCCTTTTAAATTCTCAGAGCACAACGCACAGATAAAAGTTTCAAACTGGAGAAAAATCGCTTCTTTGCTGGAAGATTTTCATTGAAACATGTCAGGAAATCTCTGGCTTTTACTATTCTCTTTCACTTTGTGCCTTTCTCTCTGGGCCATTGCATTTAAACCTTTCCTTCTAATGTGACTGCCATGCCACCTCTTCTTTGTACCCTTTGTTTGCAAGGTGGGGCTGTTTTGAATTTCCTAATAGTTGCAGATGATTTAATGATTAGCTGCTTAGATACACTGAAGACAAGATAAGATAAGAAAAGGAAGAAAAAAGACAGGGGCTTTACTGAGTAGAGATTGGGAAGCCTTTTTCCTATCCAGTTTTTTTTTTCAGATTTAAATAAAGCCAGACAGATTCACCTACTAATTTTAGGACCAGTGATCCAGATATGTACTGTGTTGTGTAAACCTTCTAGGAAATGTGGCAGCTGGAGAGCCAGGAATATTCGATTTAAAATAAATTAATCCAAAGGATTTGATTTGAAGTGTATATTTAGCACTAAGTGTGTTTACTCTCGGCAGTGAGTTTGACGCTGATCCATTAAAGAAAACAAGGGTCTTGTACAAGCCGTGCCTGCTTCTCATTTATCCATGCATGCACACTTCACGTGAGGTTTAAACTGTTTGCTTAGAGCTTTCATTCTTCTAAAGGTTGTGTTTGTTGATTTTTGTTCCGGAGTGTGTTGGGCCTCCTTAGTAGCCAGGAGACTGAGTTTGCTCTGGGAAGTGTAGACCGTGGCAGTCAGGCACTTCTTAGGTTTGCTCATAGGTTTCATTAAAAAGAAAATGGATTGGGAGCTGACCTGGATCGTTCCTGCCCTTTGGGCAAGGCTAGCCCCACATAAGAACTTCCAGAGCCACCTATTCAGGTGAAAGCCTCTGAATTGCTTGTTGACGTTAAGATTTTGGGAGACACCAGCCTGAGCAACATACTGAGACCTCCATAAAGATAGAAAAAATTAGCTGGGTGTGGTGGCACGAGCCTGTAGTCCCAGATGCTTGGGAGTCTGACATGGGAGGATGGTTAAGCCCAGGCGCTGGAGGCTGTACTGAGCCTCGATTGAGCGACTGCACTCCAGCTTGGGCAACAGAGGGAGACCCTCTTTCGAAAGAAAAAGAAAAAATTGGGAGACAAAGTCAGTGAAGTCTTCTAGCATGTATTGAATGTCGCTTAAAAACAAAATTATGCTCGTCAGGGCACATATTAGTGCTAGGGGCTGGTGCATTAAGAAAATATGAAAGTGTTGATGCAGTATTTGTTGAATTTTCAAATGAGAGATAACTCATTTTACTGCAACCTTGTTCATGACTTTATCATTCATTTGTTCTGGGACTTTGCTGAGCTTGTAAAAATGCCAGGCACTTTCTCATTTAGTTCTTTTAAGAATCCTGCAAGTTAAGAGGGTTTTTTTCTTTTTTTTCTTTTCATGGATAAGGGCTAGAACTTAAAAGAGGTTAAGTAATTTGCCCAAGGTCACACAGTTGAGGGCAGAACCCGGATTCACACCCAGGCTTATGTAACCCTAGAGCCACTCTGGGGTTTGACCATGGTATTTTTTTTTTTCTGTTGACAAAAATTACCCAGCAGAGCCACATTTCCATGTGGAGGCTCTGCAGGGTTACCACCTGAGCACACAGCTGGCGAGGATGGAGAACCCTTCACCAGCTCCTGTGAGGCAGCCAGGGCTAGCGGAAGGGGGCTGAGGCATGAAGAGAAGGGCGGAGGGCGAGGCAACACTTGCCTCTATGACGCCCGGCCTTTTGTCCTTGCTCCTTCTCGAGAGACTGCACTGTGGTTATGCCCTCTGATTTCACCAGGTCAGCGAGTTTTCAGTTGCGTAACAGGATGTCACGTGGGATGTTTTTCTGTTTCTCTGGAATTAGCGAGTAGGTGGTTTCTACTCGCTGAGTCCTGGAAGGGGTCACCTAGGAAAATTAGTGGTAGAGATGAGGAGTGCCTGAGAGAGGGGAATCTGGGGTCTCACACTTGCTGATGGCCATGATAGCAGCAACCAGGGGGAAGATGGTTGGGAAGAGGTCAGTGCCCAGTGGCCATGGAGCAATCTGCACCCCTTCCCTTTGGGAGGGCAAAGATGGAGAAATTTCCTATGGGTCACGTGAACCCTGAGGAAGGAAGCTGAGCAGAAGCCATCTTGCTTTACCCTTCCTGAAAGGGCTTAGCCACCAGGTGTCTTCAGTTGCAGATGACTGTGGTGGGTATGCTGGTGAGGGAAGCTGAGTGAACTGGAATAGGCTTAAGCCAAGGTGGCTCTCCCATGTCAGTGAGCTGTGTACTCCCAACCTCCCAAAACCGGCATCTATACCTTGGGAGATTCAGCACTTGGCAGACACTATGCCAGAGAAGGAAGTGGTGACCAACTAATTCAACTGTTGAAGAGAGAACTGCAACCTCACCTAGCTTTGCAAAGAGAAATGTACCTCTTTTCTTATCCCTCCTCTGCACGCATCCTCCCAGTACACAGATAGGACCTAAAAGAAAGAGAAGAGACAGGGAGGGCCGGAGCAACCTCTCACCAGTCCAAATAGCCTGTAATGGGGAGGGGAGAAGAGCTAAATTTGCATACTATACGGGACTGGAATTCTAAGTTAGGCTAGATGGGAGATTTTCTATCCGAATGTAAACCTGATGCTATCAAATCTGCCCAAGATGCCCTTAGCAGGTAGAAGGGAGGATTTTGACTAGCACAGATGTAGAGAATAGTTGCAAGGAATCAAATCAACTCACAATTTTGTGTTTGTACCACAAGTTATGTTTCTTCCTTTAACCAGTTATATAGGAGGGAGAGAGAAGGACCATCATTTGACAACCTGTGTTAGGGCAAGACCCAGTCCTCCTCCTGCCAAGATCAACTTTTATGGTCATTTCTGACCCATGTCAGCTCAGGCACTGTCATTATTCAGGCGTAAAATGCAGCTGTGAAAATGGCAGACTCCAAGACTAAGGCAGTGACCAGGCTGACCTTTAACCTGATATCCAGATGAACACGGACTGAGTTTTCCTATGTTTGATTCAGGGTTAGGGCGAGAATCTGATGCCGCTTCTTCACAGTCTTGGCCTGCCCTTCCCTGGCTTCATTCTGTTATCCAGTCATTTATGCAGTTGCTCAGCCGGTCAGTAAATCTTCCTTGAGTGCCTGTTCTGTCCTGGTTTGAAGGGCAGGGATATGGCCATAAATGAGAGGGACAGAGTCCCTCGTGGAGCCTGCATTCTCCATCCCTCCTCTCATTCAGCACTGAGGTTTGCAGTGCCCAGCCCTCTCTGCTCACATCTTATTCCTGTCTTCTCTGTTGTGGACACTAAATCAGTCTCCAGTTTCTCACTTAGACTTGCTGAAAATCCACTGCCACAGATGAAGTCTCTCAGTTCCTTGGCTGGGCCTGTTGTAGTGGACCCTGAGTGCTTTCTTGCCTTCCCTGTTACTATAGCTGCCACACAGGACCCTTCTTCTTCACCTGGAGTGGTTAGCTCATTGGTCATCTAGAATGCCCTCCCCCTTCTCTCCATCCTTCCAGGTTATGTTCACGTCCAGCTCCAGCTTTCTCTCTTTCACAGAACGTTATCCCTGATCCCCGGGCCAGATGGAGTTGCCTTAGATTCCAACTCCTGTCGCTGTCACTGTCTCTACTGTTAACCCAGCTCCTGCCCAGTCCCGGTGGATGTCGTCTGTGACTATTGGGACATGTGCTTTCCCTTCCATTCTCAGTTCTAAGCTGAAGGCAGCAGGAAAAGCTTCATTTTACTGCATGTAACTCCTGGCCACAGTAGGTGTCCATGAAGTGTTGCCTTTGCTTCATTTATGACTTCTCTGCACCCAAAGACACTGATATTATCAAATAGCAAAAGAACCTTGTGTTAGGAAACAGGGTACTATTTCCAGTTCTACTTTTCACCTATCCGTTGTGTTTCTTAAACATAAATTGAAACTGAAGTGGCTGCCTTTATTGCTTTATCTCCTTGAGAATTTTTATGACCTGAAATGAATAGCTTTTCTTTAGCTGTGAAATGGTGTTCTCAGTCAGAAGGACAGAGGACCATATTTGATGCAGTAATAGCGATTTGTTTGATACTTTATCTTGTTCCACACACATACATATAAAATGTCCAGGATAACTTACTGAATTTTTATTAATTGTAAAACTGTATCTCCTGCTCTGAGGGTTCATCTTTTGCTACCTTATCCTGATAGGTCCTGTAAAATAAGTGGAAATCCTAAGCAATTATACTTTAGATGGTAGATTAAATATTGCCACCTTCTGTTCATATTGAAAAGTGCACATTGATGTTCAGGAGATTGTGTTGCTCCCTTGCTTTTAAAGACTACCAATAAGTTCTCCTGGATCAAAGATAATCAGCTATTTAATAAGGTGTACATGGCGTCTTAATTATAGATTAAAATAATATTTTAATTTCTGTTTATTTTTAAAAAAAGATTCCACACTCTATAACTTTTGTAGACTTTGTAGTCTCTCTTTTTTTTTGTATCTCTGCCTGGGATAGCTCTCCTGTCCTTTGTGAGTAGAGAAGGAGAATGGTCAGTAACATGACATCTTGCTTTGTCACCTACACTGGAGTACAGTGGCATGAGCACAGTTCACTGTAGCCTTGACCTCCCAGGCTCAAGCAATCCTCCCACCTCAGTCTCTCAAGTAGCTGGGACTAGTCACGTGCTACCACGTCTGGCTAATTTTTGCATTTTTGGTAGAAATGGGGTTTTGCCATGTTGCCAAGGCTGATCTTGAACTCCTGGGCTTGAGAGATGTGCCCACCTCTGCCTCCCAAAATGCTGGAATTACAGGCATGAGCCACTGTGCCTCACTGGTTTTTTTTTGTTGTTGTTGTTATGTTTTTTAAAAAAGAGTATCTCTGTGGTATGTGGTGAATAGGCTTAACTTGAATTATTCAAGGTACAGCATAAACGTAAGGTTCATGTACATAAGGATACTCGCAAGTATCCTATTCTATTTATGAAGCTTGTTTTAAAGGATAAACCAACATCTTTGAAAAATAATTATGCAAAGGAGTGATATTTCATAATAGTTTTGGAAGAACAATGTCTATAGGTAATTTTAGAAAAATTTTCCCTATAAAATATTTATAATTTTAAAAGTGTGAACATAAGTTGTATTAAAATGCATTATTTTAATATTTTTTCTTCATTAAGGCCAAACTCTTTATTCTGATAGCATGCCTGGGAGAAAGACCCTTTTATAGACTGGGAACAGTGTCCTGAGGGGCAGATGTGTCCCAGCTGATGTCATATGAGCTAAGTCATGGAGCAGGGCTGCTATTGAGACGTGAGGTGTCTGCCAGCCTGGGCCCCTATGGCAACGGCTTGTCCTGTGCTGTTTTTTCACTTCTAATACACTTCATTTCTGTTATTTAAATTACAAACTTCATATATGCTCTGCATATCAATGAAAGATTACAGGGGCATCTAAAATAGTACTGATAGCATTCCCCTGTCGCCTGCCACACTGTCCTTCTGATGTAATTGCTGCCAAATTGGTATCGTTTCCTATACATTTTTATTCTGCTTGATAAACATACATAAACTTCAATACATGTGTATAGGTTGGTTTTGTAAGAAGTGGATGATTTTATGAGTATTATTCTGTAGCTTACTCTTTTCACTTGTCATGGGCCAATGCCAAGTCTGACTTAATGGTTCGACTTAGGTGATTTTCTGACTTTTTACAATGGTGCAAAAGCAATAGACTTTAAGAAACTATACTTCCCTCGTGATGCTGGGCAGCAGCAGCAGGCACAGCTGCATTTGCCATGCCTTTTTGACTTAGGGTATTTTCAACTTATGATGGGCTCATCAGGATGTAACCCCGTGGTAAGCCTCGGAGCATCTGTCTGTCTGCTGTGTGATCTGTGGCCTCCTCCTTGGTCGCTGCTCACAGTCCAGGGCATGATAAACCATCATGTATCCTATCTTTGCCCTATTGAGATAGCCATGGGTTTTCAGCTTTATTGCAATAAACATTCTTGGGCATCTATTTTTATGTGCTGGTACTTTCAATTTCATCAGGTTTTTAGGAGAACTGTGTCAAAGAAGATATGTGTCTTTAAACTTAGCCCTTTTAACTTTGCTTTTTGAAAAGTACTGCGTGGCATTGTGCTCTTAAAAGCAGACATTTTTTTCTGGCGGTGAGTTCCTGGCATAGGGATAGCCCTCCTGTCCTTGGTGGGTAGAGGAGGAGAGTGGTCAGTCAATACTGTTTTCCAGGATGTGATGACCTGTTTCATTAAATAGCAATAATGTTTTCCTGTTCTAGAAACCTATGTATTTCCCAGCTAAAGTTGGACTTGTCCCCTTTTTGATTTTAGCCATGCAGGGCTAGGACAGTGTTTGGATTTAATAAATTTTTCAAAGACCACTATGACTTAACCTCGTTTGCCCTTGAAGACTCCAACTTCTCATATGTAAAAGTATAATAATGAAAGTGATCAAAAAGTCCAATAGAGCTCTAGATTTAAATAAGGTGGCTGGAGGAAATGCCTCTGGAGACTTGGTTGCATTCCTTGTCTTCATTTTATTTAGTAATTCCTGCTCAAGGTTTAACTTGGTATCTGAGGGATCTTGTGGGCAAATCAGAATGATGCAACCATTCCTATTTGATAACATGTTTATTGACCAATATAATACTAGAAGACATAATAATATAATGTTTAGAGCCTTATATCGACAGCTGTTTCTGCTGTTATTCTTCTGCCAACCTACGGGTTATATGTAGTATTAAATTGGACTACTTGGTCCCATCACAGAATTCGACAGTTTGGCATCTTTGACGGGGACTGCAAGAGACATCTCCAGAAGCGTTTATCTATAGACTGCTTTCCAGCTAAGAAAATGTGCTCCACACGACAAATTCATGCTGTTGAATATAAGCTCAGCAGGAGTGCTTGAAGCTATGTAGTTCAGTACAATGTATTCAGTGATTCAAATAAGCATACTGTGTTTTCGAACATCATTTTGAATGCTTTGATTGGGTATCCATGAAATGTTTTGGTTGTTTCATCATTGTTTCATCAGTGTAATTGATGACTGTTCTGTTTTGCTGACCACTGCAGCTTAATGCAATGGCAAATCGTGCTGCAGGGAAAGGCTATGAGAATGAAGACAATTATTCCAATATCAAGTTTCAGTTTATCGGGATAGAGAACATCCATGTCATGAGGAACAGTCTGCAGAAAATGCTGGAAGGTAAACCATTTCCTTATGCACAGCATTAAAAAATGCAGTTCAATATTTTGATGCCAAAAGGGAATAAGATAGTCTTGATTTAAAAATGTGTTTTTTTTCCCCCCAATGATGCTATTTACATAGGTGTGATAGTCTGGGAAGAATATAATGTTATGGTGGCTCTTTAAATATTTAAGAACCTTTCTGTTATTTTTTAAGCATCACTGTGATGTGGTTTTAACACTTGGTGATTAGCAGTCAGGGACTCTACAGTGGTACTTAACAGCTCAGGTAAAAGTGCACAGGGATATTTTTCTTTCTTCCTCATAATGTTAGTTTGATCGACATTTAAGGCCATTTAGGAATAAAGCAGTAACCAGCCATTCTTTTATGGAGATCAGGTTCAAAAACCGTATCCTTGCTGAAGGCCCTTAGAAGGGAGAATTTTGGAGGTTCCTACTCGAATTTCTAAATAGCAGCCACTGCAATCCACATGCATGTAACCTCCTGCCACCTCCACACACACTTCAGCATATAGCAGCGAACACTACAAGACCCGTACCCACAGACTTACATACTTGTATGGATAGGAAATTAAAGAGATGGATTATGTAATATAGAAGAGTTATTCCTGTGGCCAAACCAGCCACATGCTGATGAGCAGAAATGCTGCATTTCAAGCAAAACCAGCTTAGTCTGCCACATCTGCTCCTTGTGATCATAGAGACCCTGAGAGGAATCTGTTGCCGTAGTCTAACCACTTCCAGCTCTGGGAATTGGGAAAAGACAGAGGATGCTGAAACCATGGCCTTATGCCTTGGCAGTCCATGCTGTGTCTGCGCTTCTGGGGAAAGCCCTGGAGAGCTGGAGCTGGGAGCCAGGGAGGTTGGCTGTCTTGATTGGAAATGAGGGCTCTGGAATGAAGAGGGACAAAGAATGTGCTGAATTATTTTTTCCAGGAATCCATGTTTGCTCTCAGTTACTTAGGCAGTTCCTCGTTTAATCAGAACAACTTAATGTTGCAGTTGGAGAAATCTGAGTGTCACAAACAGGCCTAATTTCCATTCCCTTTTCTGGACTTACCGGTTCATATCAGCCATTATGAAACTTGGAACACATAGTTAACTTTTTTGGGGATCCATTACCTGCTGCAAAATGACAGGATTAGGCCAATACTTTTTTTTTTTTTTTTTTTTTTTGAGACAAAGTCTCACTTTGTCACTGAGGCTGGAGTACAATGGCGTGATCTCTGCTCACTGCAACCTCAGCCTCCCAGGTTCAAGCAATTCTCCCGCCTCAGCCTCCCAGATAGTTGGGAGTTACAGGTACGTGCCACTAACACTGGCTAATTTTTTGAATTTTTTTTTTTTAGTAGAGATGGGATTTCATCATAGCCAGGATGGTCTTGATCTCCTGACCTCATGATCTGCCCACCTCGGCCTCCCAAAGTGCTGGGATTACAGGTGTGAGCCACTGCACCCAGCCTGGACCAGTACTTCCTATAGTTCTTCTAGCTGTGACAATTTGATGTCCCTCTTTAGAAAGCAATCCCTGCCTACAACTGAAAACATCTCAGCCCTAGAGCCATTCCCATCTTTTCTACATAGTTGGCAGTCAGTCTCTCAGGTCACAGTGACATCACCTGGGCATTGTCTCAGGTCACAGTGATCATACGTGATTATTTGAGCAGCTTAAAGTTTTGGAGATTGTCATGCACAGTTGGGCTGTCCCTGCTACAAACTGTGTTTTTTATGCATTGAAAAATTGAACTAGCTTGGTACTGTTATTGGAAAGGTAGTATGACTTTAATATGAAGACTGTTCATTTATCAGCTTCATTAAGTTATGCTTTAAATTTTTCATTTGGTCATTTCATAAGATGACTTGGAGAACATATATTCTTTTCTGCAGAAAGTTGCTCCCATGAGTACTTATAGCATATAAATTTGACTTGTTTTTAAATTGGTTATTTTTTGGTTTCTTGTTAGGAACCATTTCTCCTGCTCTTATGCCTGTGATCTGACTCATTGCTGTTTTCTAAAGAAATGTAAACTGATCAAGTTAGGGGGAAAGCTGTCTGTTTCATAAGGGGCCATGGTGCTTCCACATAACTTTTCCAGCTATGTGCAGTGCAGTAGGCAAGGACATCTTCCTGGATGCTTGTCTGTGGTCTTGACCAATGTTTGACTATCTGTTTTTACCGAGTAAATTATAAACCATTGCGGAGGCTGAGCTGATGATGAAGTGTTGCAATCAGACCCGCCTTCTAAGGCTTTTCCTCCTCCAAACAGCTGTCCTTGGCATCAAAGAGATAGGAAGGTTCATACTGCCGGTCACTTGGTAGGCAGAGGAATGAATTATGCATTTCATTCATGATAATTTTATTCATTTTTTAACCATTGTTATGGATGTAAGAATAGATTCCAAATAATAGAAAAGTAAAATTGTTTGCATTCTGGCTTCAAACAGCTCTCTGTGAGCAAGAGCTGCAAGATATTTCATCAGAAGCTGAAATCTAGGACCAAGTTCACATCCTGTGTAGGTCCTCTATAGAGCTGATTTAATTTTAACTTGGATTTGTACGTTTCAACCAAACTATTTTTGTGGGATCTATACTTTCTAAGGAGAGAAAATGATGCATTTCAGTTACATAGCAAGCAATTTTGTAATTTAATGAAGCGATTTTCACAATAGTTTCCCTTTTGATCATATAGATAATGGTTTTTCCCTCAAATAGTAAGAGGATACCCAGTATTTTCTTTTTTTATTTAAAAATTTTAAGTTCTGGGGTACATGTGCAGGACGTCCAGGTTTGTTACATAGGTAAACTTGAGCCGTGGTGGTTTGCTGCACCTGTCAACCCATCACCTAAGTTTAAGCCCAGCATGCATTAGCTATTTTTCCTAATGTTTTCCCTCCCCCCACCCCACCTACCAACAGGCCTCGTGTGTGTTGTTCCCCTCTGTATGTCCATGTGCTGTCATTATTCAGCTCCCACTTATAAGTGAGAACATGCGGTGCTTGGTTTTCTGTTCCTGAGTTAGTTTGCCGAAGATCATGGCTTCCAGCTCCATCCATTAAAACAGTCAGTAGAAGAGCCCAGAATAGTCGCTTTCCAAGGTCGAGAGTATTGTTATTAGCAGAAGTGGAGCTTTTACATTTTAGCTATCCTGGGTGTTGGGGAGAGCAGTGAAGAGGAAGGTAGAGAGGCGCATGGAATGACTCGCACGTCTCCACTTGTTGAGGTTGTGCCCCATTGGGACACCTCTTCATATCTGCTCTGAAGGTCAGCAGGCACTGATAGGAAAGACACAGGAGGCACATCTTCCTCCTCTTTCAATCAACTTGCCATCTTTTGGAGGTCACCTAGAAAATTTCACTTTCTCCCCATGAGTAGCTTTGTGCCTGCCTTCCACATGACTATTAGATTAATACTGTTGGCCATTGTTTGATTCTATTGAACTGACCACTTATTCATCAGTGTAGTCATTAAACTAAAAATTGAGCAACTGCTCTTTGCCACACGTCATAAGTATTTTCACTTAAATGATTGTATCTGATTTTCACAACAGTTACGAGCAGTGCGTGGTATTATCTGCTTTCTATAGATGAAGAAACATAATTTTTTAAAGACTAAACAGTAAGTTGAAACAAACATGTAGATAAACATGTAAACTACCAAACTAGAGAAATGTGAGGTAAAACTTCAAAGTACCATTTGTCACCCAATGTTTTACAAATTAAGACACTACTGAAAAGAATGTGGTAAAACTAGTATTCTAAATATTTATAGTATTATTTAAATTGGCTTAGAGAGACATATTTTGTTTAGAGATAGTTTTTACCAGGTTGCTTCCTCTTAGGGACAAAATCAAAATAATATTAAAAAATAAATAAAGATATAGGAAGGGCATGGAGGCTCACACCTATAATCCCAGCTCTTTGGGAGGCTGAGACATTGAGGATCATTTGAGACCAGCCTGGGCAACACAGTGAGACCCTGTCTCTACAGAACATTTAAAAAAAAAAAAATCAGCCAGGCATGGTGGTGTGCACCTGTAGTTCCAGCTGCTCAGGAAGCTGATGTGGGAAGATCATCTGGCCTGGGAGGTTGAGGCTGCAGTTAACCATGATTGTGACTGCACTCCAGCCTGGGTGACAAAGAGTGAGGCCCTGTCTCAAATAAAATAAAATAAAATGAAGATATAGATGTGCCTGTGTTGATAGTAGTGTTTAGAATATTGGAAGTCCACATGACTAAATAGTAGTAGACTGATTAATTTTACTTCATCTTATTGATAGAAAAGTTTGCATCCATGAAAAATACCAAATGTGAAGACTATATGTACTAACATGGGAGAATATGTATAATGTAAGTGAAAAATTCAGGTTGTAAAATTGTTTCCACATTCTTATGCCCTATATAGTAAATCATTTGTATGAAGAAAGACTAGGAGAGCATGTCCGGAATGATCATTGGGTTAGCATGGAAGGATGAGAGTGACGTTTTTCCCTTTTTCCTTCTTTATTTACAAAATATTTGCTATGGTTAGTATATTCCTTTTATAAAAAACGATACTTATTATCTCATGGTTTCTGTAGGGTAGGAGTCTGGATGTGTCTCAAGCATAAATGGGAACCCAGGGACCCTCTTCTCAGGGTCTTTCAAGACTGCAAAGTTACAGCTGGGCTGCATTCTCATCAGGAAGTTTGAATGGGGAAAGGAGATTCTTCCCCATTCAAACTTCCTGACGTGGAAGTTTGGCTGTTCACAACATGGCAGCCTGTTTCTTCAAGGCCAACAGGAGTGCCTCTCTCCAGTTAGAGTCTGGTGTATTACACTTTTTAATTAAATTGTTTTTTAAAAATATCCTTTCCATTGTCACATTTACAAAGCAATGTTTTAACCTAACACTTGTTATCATATTATAGTGATCCTTGTTGAGTGGTAGCTCTGATATAAGACAAGCTTACAGCTTGTGACCACAAGGATCATTATATGAACCGCAAGCATCATTATAA